TATTGACTGTTCACAAAGGAGACATGCTTACTCTGAATATGAGGATTGTTTATTGATAATTGTTGCCAGCAACAGTCACACTGTACACAACAGTAGCATTATAACTATATATAACATAACAAGGTGCAGCACCTCTTTACCTCTCATACACACAGCATTAAGAGAACATTAAGAACAACTATGTTTCTTACACTCTCTCTCTCTCTCTCTCTCTCTCTCTCTCTCTCTCTCTCTCTCACACACACACACTCCAGGCTGGCAGAACCATAAATGTAAAAAAAAAAAATATCACAAATCTGTAACATGAATGAACATTCACATTAGAAGTCAGCGCATTATGTCAGTATGAACAACACATGAAGACTTTCAAATAAAACACTCAATTTCTATTTGAGTCCTCCTCCAATTTATGAAATAAAGGGGCGAACTTAAATTGTCCACCTGAAACAAAGTAAAAATGACATCTGGTTGGCAGACTCCTGACCACCTGTGAGCGCTTTGGGACGGGAGGAGCTCACAGCAGCACTGCTGCTTGCTGAGGACAGTAACTGCAGAACGATACGGGTTTTCACGTCAGAGTCTCCAAAACACCAGAAAAATCTCCAGTAACACCAGAAAGAGTTGCTAGATTTGTCTCTAGTCACTTATGACCAAAAAAAAAAAAAAAAAAAAGTCGCTAGGAGGATTTGGAAAGTTTACAGATAAAGAGAAAGTCACCAAGTTCAGTTGGCAACACTGCGCGTGCCGGTGGGTGTCGTACATCGGTGGTTGTGACGTATATTTTGAGAAACAAAAACAATTAAACACGTTTTATTTTATTGTTACAAGATCACCATAATCTTCAAATTCAGAGTTGCATTTTAAAAACTAGCGAACTGAAAAAAAATACATTTAAATTAAATACTCATTTATTTTCCAAAACCACAAGGAGCCGCAGCAGAGATATGAAAGAACCGCATGCGGCTCTGGAGCTGCGGGTTGACGACCCCTGGCCTAGACTCTGCCCACAATCAACCAAAAGCATGCTAAGGATGCTGTTGCGAAAACAACAGAAAACAACGTTTAGCCAAAAAAAATAAAATAAAAAAATCACTGCACCTCCTTGGGTCCCCAGCAATACACCAGCCAAGTGTTACAGTTTACTGTTATGCACAAAAACACCACCACATCAGATTCCTCGCATGTAAAAACCTACTTGACAGATTCTGATTCTGAGATGTCAAGAAAAGCAAAGAACAGACAGATATACAGACCGACAGACAGACAGAGATTCCTATTTTTATTAGTAAGATGTGTGTGTGTGTGTGTATGTGTCCTTGTATTGCTCATGTAGTGTGGACATAAATCTGTTTAGACTGACAAATTGCAGCAACTTGGCTCCAACAAAAATCAAGTTGCCTTAAGAGAAATCATTAAATTTTAATAGTAAAAGTGCACTCAGAGGGGGCAGTCCCCTGCCAAGACTAATGTTGTAACTTGTAATTTCTTGGCCCTTTCTTTGCCCACGTTGCTCTTCTCTATCAAGTTTCATGAAATTCGGCTGAGTAGTTTTTTGTGTAATCCTGCTGACAGACAAACAAACAGCACTGAAAACATACCTCTGTTCAGCAAGTCCAAATAAGGTTAGGTTTAGGATAGACGAGAGTAAGTTTACACTTTAGCTCAGGTGTGTGTGTGTCTGTGAACTCACATCGCGTACAGGACAGTGTATGTGTGGTCAGATGGTTTGGAAGTCCAGGTGAGAATGGTCTTAAAGTCCAGTGACATCCAGTGAACATTCTCTGCTGTGGGGACAGTGTTCTCATCTGTGAATGAAATAACACAACATTTACTTTCCATTATTCTTACCTTGCCTTTTTGCTTTTGTTTTGTTTAGTCAGTGAGTAAATGTGATGAAGTATCACATTAAAGCATATACCAACGTTTAAAGTCTGTTAGAGAAAAACTTTGACATCCACTTCTCCACCCTCTTTGTCTGCATAAACAGACCCTTATTGAAGACAGACTTTACCAGTGAGTAAAGCTGAACAGAAGCCAAAAGTAAGGCTTTTATATAATAGTGATTTTACAGTGTTCATACAATTTGAATAATAGTGTGTTCAACTATCACACAACATTCATTGTTGTAAGATCCCATTCGGCTCTTATTGCATCTTTTGACTTTTAAAGAATGTTGTGGAACATTTACTCGGTTTTATGGGTTGTGGTAACATTCAAACATATCTAATGCTGGGAATGTCAAAAATGCTGTGTCATGATTAGGGAACAACATGAGATGGCTACTTCCTTAAATTGCTTGCACAAACAAACTGAAGAATGTGAAAGTAGTTATACCGGGTATGGCGTGTATATGTGCCATAGAGATCTGCGTAGCAAACATAATAATATGTCAGTCTTCTACTTGTATTTTTTTATGTGACGTCCTTTTACAACTTTATCGGCAGTCTCCGGCTTATTCTAGTGATTACCAGGACATCGGATTCTAACAACCTGGCTCCGTCAACCAGAAGGGCTTGCAGGCAGCGTCAAGATTGTAAGCAAAGGC